AGATAACTCAGCTACCAGCCAAGTCAAAAAAACAAACAACCTTCCATTCCTTTTGGTGCAATTGGCGTAAATATCAATTGGTGCATCACTTTGCTTAATAAGTTAAAACTTGTTTGATTAGTTGGGTTTACTGAATAAATGTACATAAGACAACATTCAAAAAAAGGATAATCCAGATAAAGGAAACTACAAACAGCTGAATGTTATGCTCTTCCATATCTTCGGACATACTAGGTTAAACTTTTTAATTCGCATCACACTGCAACAGCTCTCAATCGAACATCGAATTAAGCTTAAGATTGAAAGTTTCCTTCACTGGAACATTTGTTGTGTCTATTTTCTCTCTCTTCACTTGGCTCCCATTCGATGGTGTTTGTTTGGGCTCCTTTTTCTTTTCTTTTTTTTTACAATGGTGGTAGTTTGGAGCATCATATCTATCGTATCTATTTTCACTTTCTTTCAGTAGTATTAACATTGTTCTCGTAGCTTATTGTCTTGGACTTTCTGTCACCCTGATGTTTCTTGTGCTTTGATTATCACATTATTTGGATGTTGTTATTGTTCCTTTTCTCCTGAGTGTTATGTACTGCTCTCCTTTTGGTTGCCATGTCTTCTTCATCTCCGTATTTCCTTTTTCAAACTACTTTGAAAAGCTTTCCTTGAAGACCAAGGGTCTATCAGAAATAACCTCTCTACATCCATGAGTTAGATTGACAAACTGGTAGGCCGGGTTGAAAACTAAAGGGATCTAACAAAACAGGTACTACTAGACTAAATCCTGCTTAACTAATGAGATGGACATAAGTAGAAAACTTCAGCTACAACTTTTTTAAGCATTAAAACTCAATTCTAAAGAGCACACACAAACTAAGTCAAATGACCGCAATTCCTCTCAGCAAAACACTCGTTCCATCAAATCAACAATCGAAACATAAAATTCTCCTATAAACTACCAAAAAAAAATTTCAGTTTCAATTCATACAATAAGCATACATTCAACAGATCAAAAATCAACAACATTAGATACATCATAAAAAAAAAAAAAAAAAAAGCACATACGTACCACCACAAAGCAAAGCAGCAATCTGCAACCAAAACAAAACAAAAAAAACGTATAAGCAACACACATAATAATCTTCAGTGGAATTACATATAGACAACTTGAAGGAGGTAGAGATTTACAAGGAGTATCAGCTTGGATTGTGCTCATAAGATCAGTGTGCCAAAGGTTGCGATAATTCTGTCGGACCTGCATCTTGTTCAAATACTCTTGCGACGCCATATCTGATCTCTGCTGAAGATTTGAGAGAAATGTAAATCAGAAACCCTAGATAAATCTCCTTTTTTGCTTTCAGTCAATGAAATGGGGAAAAGGAGTTTTTGCCAAGTCAATGTTAGTCGATATAAACAAAATTGAGACAATTTAAGCAAAAAAGTATAGAAAACGCTTGCGAAGTTTCCTCTTACACAGTTGGCGAAGACCTTCAAGTTGGGGTTGAAAATTAAAACCGTGGAGACGACCTCTTTTTTTTTTCTTCGCTTTTAAGCCAAAAGAGAAGTGGCAAAGCAAGTGGCTACAAACTGAAAAAATCACTTTCTCCGATTCAATTTATATGAGTTAATTTGATTTGACACCACATATGATTTAAATTAAGTCATACTTCTTTCGTTTTTTTTTAATTGTCATGCTTCACTTTTCGATAATCAATTTAACCAATATTCAAAGGTAAATTATATTAGATTATATTAATTTGATATTTTAAAATAAAATTTTAGATTTTATATAGAAAGTAATATAAATTGCAACTTTTTTCATATCAATATGATGAAAAATATATTTTAAAATGTTAGTCAAAATTCATATCGTTTAACCTTCAAAAAGGAAATTACGACAAGTAAAAAGGATCGAAGGAGTAGATATTTGTGTGACTATAAATCATTTCATATTAAGGATAAATTTGACATTTTAAAATTAAATTATTACTAAATATAGAATTGTGTCATTTTATTTTAGACTGACTAAAAAAAGTAAGTAATATAAATTGGACAAAGGGAATAGTACAATACTCTCTCAGGTCCATTTTAGTTACAGTTCGTTTGGACATGCAAAATCATAATACTAAAGTTGGAGTTTTATTTGAATATACCATTTTATATTTTAAAATAAAATTTTAGAAAGTAATATAAATTGCAACATATTTCATATCTGATGAAAAAATATATTTTAATATGTAAAATATAAACTTATGGGTCAAATTTTACATTTTAAAAAATAAAATCATGATTTGAAATCTCAAATCATGTTTTTTTGAAAAATTTAGGATGTGAAATCATGATTTCAAATCGCATATTTAAAAACTGACTTAAAATCATAATACAAAATTGCATGTCCAAACACAATCTTAGTATCATTTTATAAAATTAAGATACTATAATTAATTAACAATTTTATTTTTATTCAATAAATATGGAGAAGATTAATGTAGTAAAAAAATGTAGTATTAAATTAAATTAAAAGAATAAATAAAAATAATTTAGTTAAATTGTCCTTTTAGTTAATATCTTCTTAAGAAGTATATAAAAGAAAAATATGATAAGTAAAATGGACCAAGAGGAGAGTAGTAACTAAAAATCTTTTTTTAATGAAAAATGTTCAAATTAAAATTTCTTTCTATTTTAATTTAGGTAAACTTTTTGAAACAATGTAAATATTAAGAAAATAATAATGATTTTTAAGTTGGGATCTCAGATATATCATATATTTGTGCAGTAATAAAATCATATTTTTAAATTGATATATAAACTTTTAAGCATATATTTACAATAATGCAATAGCATTCATTCAAATAAATAATAATTTTACAAAATTTAATCTTACCCTCAATTATTGTTTTTCTTGTTTAATGCCTTTGCTTTCTTCATTTATTGTGAATGATGTTTGAATAAAGTGGATTGCGCAATTGGTTGTTGATGAGGATGAAAGGTGTAAGAATCAAACTTGAAGGCAATTTGCAATTAATGTCTATTTAGACTTTTGATAAAATCAAATTCAAACAGTTCAATTCATTTAAATTTGGATGGATTATTGATATGTCTATTTATTAGCTCGATTTATTTTTTAATATTTAAATGATTTATAATAATTAACAGTGATACAATAAAATTCTTATTTTATTTATTATTTCTTATGAATATATCAAATCAAATATGAACAAATAAACATAGGCGGAAGGAGTAATAGTTTTAAGTAGCTACTATAATTAGTTAAGTTGACAATTAGTTGGATTAGCTGGATTTTGGATTAAAGAATATTTAGACAAAATTTGAGAATTGTTCCCTTGTATCTCGTTTTGAATGTCTACTCAATTGATCCATGTGTAGACATTTGAATTGTCGATTTCATATCTCTTTCTTCTTTAATTTACTCTAGTAAATTGTAAACGTCTAAATTAAGTTTTAAGATAGATGCTCAATATATTTTATGTGAAGAGGAGATTGATGTGCAACTGCCTCGGTAAGAAGGTGTGAGAGATTGATCATAGTGGATTTGAGAAGGAATAAAGATAGAATAAAAAAATATTGAGGTGGGGTGATTTAGGTATGCTCACCGCAGACATAACCTTGATAGAAGGATATGGAGGATGAGGATTAGAATACAAGGTTAATAGGTAGTCGGATGTAGGGGTGACAAAATCAAATTCAACCCGTCCAATTTGACCCAATCCATTTAGGTTTGGGTTGGTTATTGACCCGCTAATTTGTTAGCTCAACCCATTTCAACCCATTAAAATTTGGGATGATATTGAATTTTGAGAAATCTTGTTAAAATATTTCTAATTTTTTTAATATATTATATATAGTTATAATAATTTATTAGGTACTAAAAGCATATAAAATACTTTCTCTATCCCTAATTACTTGTCCATTTTTCCTTTTTTAGTTGTCCCTAATTACTTGTCCATTTTAACAAATCAAGAAAGAACAATTTTTTTTACATATTATACCCTTAATTAATTACTTTGAAAAAAAATAAAAATTCTTGAAAATCTTAAGTTTTTAATTCATTAACTTCACAATTAATAGGGGTAAAATGGTAAACTCACTATGTCAATTATTGTTTTCTTAATAGATGTGTCAATTTGACAGTGAACAAGTAATTAAGGGCAAAAAGAGTAACAAATAAAACTATTAAAACTTAATAAAAATTAGGTGGGCTGAGTTGACCCGTTACCTAACCCGTTTTGACCTAATCCATTTTGGCTCAAACAAATTTGGGTTGGGTTGGTTGGATCTTGATCCGTTTATTGTCTTGACTCATTTTGACCCGCCCAAAATTCAACCCAATTCACCCAATTGTCACCCATAGTCAGATGTATTTCTTCTTTTTCTATGTATTAGTATTAATCTTATTTTTCATTATTTTAGGTTTCTATTACTATATGTCATTACTTTTGTTTTTGTTGCTACTGCCTCGATAAGCTGGTTTGCGTGTAAAATTAAAGTGAATTTATCGTTGTTGTTTTTCCTATGGAGTTTACTAGTAATTCTCAAAACTTAGATTATACGAAACGAAGTTTCAAATGTTTGAAGTTATCATTGCATAAGAATTGGTGGAAAAAAAAAACTAGACCTTAGAAAGGAATGGGAAAATGAGATAATTTCTCGTGATCACTCAACTATACTCTCTCCGTCCCATTTTATGTTGCAGTTTGCGAATTTCAAGATTCAAACATATCTATCTTTAATCATAAATTTTTCCTAGATCTTTTAAACATTTTGAATTATCAATTACTTTTTACGTAATTTACAAATATATAAATTTCATTTCAAAAAGATTGAAGATTTTGTGCGCAAATTCTCGATCAAACTTAAACTGTTTTGACTCTCGAAAAAATACCAAGTAAATTGGGACAGAGCGAGTAGTTATTATTTCTATTGGTTGAGTGAATTCAGGGGAAAAGTAGTCCTAAAAAGCATTAAAATAATTAAAAGACTCTAAGTTCATGGAATAAGAATCTTTCACTTGATTTAGAGAAAGAAAGCTTTAGATACAAGCATTAAACCTGATAATTTACACACATAATTGACATCTGAAAAGTAGAAAAATCGCAATAAACAACAGCACCAGACAGGGAAAATGATAAGATAAAAGGTTGTATCTTCAACTCTTCAAGACCTGCTGCTCTTGAATGGAATAGCTCTGATGATTATCTGATGGTAAACTGCAGCAAGAGCTGCTCCAATGAATGGTCCAACCCAGAAGATCCACTGAAAATTATGAGGAAAAAACAACACTTTTTAGTCAAGACATAACACGACAACACGCCTTTCAAAATGTCGGAAAATTTGTCATCTCGACGTGCTTCTAAGTTAAAGACTTACGTGGTCATCCCATGCCTGGTCTTGGTTGTAGATGATAGCAGCTCCAAGACTCCTGGCGGGGTTGATACCAGTTCCGGTGATTGGGATGGTGGCCAAATGAACCAAGAACACCGCGAATCCAATTGGAAGAGGTGCCAAAATCTGTCATAACAAAATTGTATATTATGATTCCTCATACATTGACTTGAATCTAGTACACAAAATCTATGTTGCTCAGACTCTTCAGAAATGCCAATGGATGCTTGTCGGAATTTACAAAGAATCCGACACGGGTTCGGCTGTATTTTTGGGAGAGTCAGAGCAACATAGCACAGAAGGCAGTGCCAATGGGCCAATATTGTCACAAGTTCTTAAGACAAGAGTAGTTAAGTTATATTGTGTATGTATCAAACCATTTTACTCTCATTTTTTACCTCCTAAAGGTAAAAATCAAAACTTTGATCCAAAAAAGTACTCTAGCACTATTAAGCTAAAGTTATTGGTAGGACAAGAAAGCACTTACAGGAACATGTGAATCTCTAGCACTTCTTTTGGCATCAGTGGCAGAGAAAACAGTGTAGACAAGGACAAAAGTGCCAATAATCTCAGCACCAAGTCCATCACCTTTAGTGTAACCAGGACTAACAACATTAGCACCACCATTAAGTCTCTCATAGGGTCCAACCATGAAACCCTTCACAACACCAGCACCACAGATGGCACCAAGGCACTGCATCACTATATAGAACACTGCCCTTGTTAAAGACAGTTTCCTTGCCAAGAACAGACCAAATGTCACAGCTGGATTAATGTGTCCTCCTGTTTCAGTACAAAATAGGGACTCAGTACATGTAAAAAATGATACTCAGCCTATTCAACCCCAAAACTAGCTCGACTCATCAACAGATAAACAATTCACAATTCTTTAAATTTTAAAATTTAACTCCACTTGTGTGAGCTCACTCACATCACCAGTCTCAAGCTCCGATGAAGGAGGAGGGTTGTCGAGGATAAATCGGAAACAACCTCTCTAAGATAGGGGTAACTGCATACATCTTAACCTGCTCAGACTCCACTCGTGAAATTACACTAAGTTCATTGTAATTATATAGTCAAACTACTAATACAAACAAATTACAACAAAGGGTTTTTGTGGGTATTGTAGTAGATCCATAAAAACAGTCCCCAAATGAAAATCAGTGACAACAAACAAAAAAAGATTACAACTTTACAGTATCATGAGCGAAAAAAAACAAGATTTGAGCAAGAATTAAGTAGTACTATTAGTAACTAACCTGAGATACCAGCAGTACAGTAAACCAAAGCAAAGATCATACCACCAAAAGCCCAAGCAACTCCTTGAATACCCACAGAAGAACACAAACTATCAGACCTTTTAAGCCCCATAACAGTCAAGATTGTTATGTACAAGAACAAGAAAGTAGCCATAAACTCAGCAATTCCAGCTCTGTAAAAAGACCATGATGACAATTCCCCTGGTTCAAACAGAGGAGCTGGTGGTGGCTCCTTGTAATCCTTGTCTGTTTGAGCAGCTGTCCCCAATGGCTGAGTCTCTCTGTACTTGTTTGCTCCAAGATTAACATCTTCTTCTTTGTTTTCTGCCATTTTTTTTTCCTCACTCACTTTTTTCTCTTCTCTCTGTATTATTGAATGCTCAATGGAATCCAAGAAAAGGAAGTAAGGTGCTGAGACAAGGATAAGGTTTGTCTTATTTTATAGTGGAGAACACATCATTTACACCAATATAAAATATGGTACAATTTTTTTTTTCTTTTTTCACTTAGTTGTATAATAATTTATTGAGTTGTTATAATCTTTTTGTAAGGTTGATTAATTTGTTAATGGCAAATTATGAAGTCTACTACAGAGTGAAAGTATTATGAGAGAAGTATTGGAAACACCACTGAATTTGACGTAAATTATTAATTTCGTTTCTGAATGGTTAACAGTCTTAAAATCACCCCTCTACTTGACTAACTATACTTAGATACACCCACGATCGGCCACATGATATGACAAGTGATCTCAAAATCTTAATAAAAAGCGGAGAGAATTGTTAAAAATACTCTCAAACTTGATGAAGATTTATGAACGTATTTCACTCATGTTACAAGATCAGAAGTGTATTTAAGTTCAGATAGTCAAGGAAATAAGTGTTTTTAAGATTGCCACAAATATACCAAGTTTAAGTGTGTTTTCAATACATTGTTTTTAGTAAAAAAAGAAAAGAAGGCTTTTGGATTATGAAAGTCTTTATTCAAGGGGTGACCTAGTAATTAATAAAGTGAGTTGAGAATATAAGATTTTCTATTCAAATTTTAATAGAGACAAAAACATTTCATTGATTTCTATCTATTTTAGTTTTAGTGAATAGAGTTAACTAGTATATCAGTTATCGATACAAAATAATAGATACTCTATATAATTAATTTGAGGTGCACAAAAGCTGATCCAAAAATCATCACTCTAAAAAATAATAATCATGAAAGTTAGGGATGCTTGACAATTTTTTCTATGGTTTAATTAGTTGTCCTTATCTTCTACAGAGTGTCACATAATTTATTTCTTGAAAAAGCACATACTCTTCCATTTGATTTGCTGGTCGGGCCAACTTAATTCACCTAATCTTCAAATAGTTGCAACAAAGGCCAGCTAAGTAAAAACTTTGAAACTTGAATTGCCATTATAAAAAATGATTTCTTTTTATTACACTATTTTCGGGAAATGCATAAGTACCCCCTCAGCCTATGCCTGAAATTCCAGAGACACACCTAACCTTTACTAAGGTCCTATTACCCCCCCCCCCCCGAACTTAATTTATCTATAATATTCTACCCCTTTTCGCCCTACGTGGCACTATCCTTGAAAAATTTGTCAACATGCGTTGGGCCCACCTGATAGTGCCACGTAGGCCAAAAGGAATAGAATATTACATATAAAATAAGTTCGAGGGGAGGGGGGTAATAGGACCTTAGTAAAGGTTAGGTGTGTCTCTGAGATTTCGGGTATAGGCTGGGGGTACTTATGCATTTTCCCTAAATATTTTGATAAATTGGTTTGGTTATATATATTATATATTCCGTTTTATTATATTGTCTCGAATTGTTATCCACTATAGAGTTTGATATAAACATGATAATACTATAATTATAGTATAAACACTTTAGAAATTGCTTATTCCGTTAATTAAAAATTCTATTAAACATGAAATGATTTATATAGCTATATAATTTTGTTTCAAATAATTTATTGTGACTAAAAAAGTTTTATTGCTATGGTAACTTTTATCACATGACGACAACTTATGATACAACTACAAAAATCTATTGCAACAATAGTTTTCTAGTTATTTAGGTAATTATTGCCACCACTATAAATAATTATAACAAAATTGAGAAGTTAACTTTGCCAAATCAATCTTCATAGCTAAATTTTTCTGTGAATTTGCAAATAACATAAAATGAGATGACTATATTAGTTTGAGCATAACTTCACTATTTTATCAAATCCTACTCCCTTCGTCTCATTTTATATGTCACTTTTTTACTTTCCACTTGTATTAAGAAATAATGTAATTTTATCCTTCTACCCTTATTTAATGTTTTATTAAGTCAACTTTATAATAAATGATGAATATATTTTTAAGATTAATTAACTACTCTATCAAGGATATAATAGGCAAAATATGGTGATTTATGCATAAATTTTATAAAATGACAAGTATTGTGGTCCAGTTATTTATAGAAATGAATGACATATAAAATGGACGGAGGGAGTAGTAATTATTATACAGCACATGAATAAAGCATTTCTAACCACTAATTATATTATTTAGACAAACCACTACAAAACAAAAACAACAAAAAAGAATCTTATTATAATGGTGATTATGGGCGGTGGGATTATCTAAGCAAAGCTAAATAAAGCTCACATATATACTTAATTAAGCCCCTAAGTCCTAACCCTTCTAATTTTCTTTAATAATTTTTCTGTATTAGTGGAGAAATCATAGCCACAGCCCCACAATCACCCAAAATAAAACAAAACAAAAAAATATATGGTCATTGAGTGGGCTAGAGAAAAAAATAGCCGTTTCTTTCTGTGACCGTTGAGAAAAAGTGACACAGCTTTTTTTCCTTGTCAACATTACATGGCCAACACTCTATGGCCAGAATTTAAGCATAGAGCTCATCATCATCTTGAGCAGTTAGCCATTGTATCTGTAGCTGAAAAGGAATAAACGATCCACGAATATTCTCTTTGTCTCAATTTAAGTGATATCGTTTGATTTGATATAAAATTTAAAAAAAATTGAAATTATGATGTAAAACAAAGTTTACTCAGTTATATGACTATAAATCATTTCATTATAAAAGAGGAATTTGAAAAGGTCATAAATTTGCTCAAAAGAGATTTTTACACCGTGTCTACGAAGTTCATAAATTGCAAAAAGATAAAATTAAGGTGATTTTACTAATTGAAAAAGTTATTCCGGGTGAGAAATTCTAAAGGTGTGTGATCTATTCATTTTGCATAAATAATGGGTCTTATACTACTAATCCCATTCCCACAAAAACATAATGTTCTATCTCGGATGAGAGGTCGGAGTTGTTCGGATGATGAAACTCTAGTTTTAAAATTGTAAGTTCGAGTTATCAAAAGTGTAAAAAAGGTGGTAGCTCCTTGAAGGGATTGGAAAAAAAAACAAATCCTATACTATGATTAATTACCATATCTAAAGTCTAATGAGAGTTTTCAAGAGAACTCCACACAAATAATAAAAAGAAAAGATGATGCTCCACTATCCTAACATTTGTGACAATTAATGTGGGCCAAATTCTACAAATTTGTCTTTGCTTGTGCTTAGCTTTATCTAGAATTTCCAGCAAATAGCTTGATAGTATTAGAACGAAAAAGAGGAATATCCAATCATGGTCTATACAACTCATACTCGTGACATTATTAATTGGCTTTTAGCCCTACTCACATGCTATATTGTGCAACTTCAAGCTCCACTCATAAGCTCAGACTCTCTAAAAATGTTGTCGCATTTTTGTTGGATTCTTAAAAATACACTACTTTTGAAGGATCCGATACACATCTGATGATATTTTTGAAGAGTCCGAGCAACATTACCTTCAAAATTTGAGGTAGTATATATATCAAACAAAAAAGACAAAAAGAAAACTGAAAAAAAGATGAAGGAATTGTAACAAGTGAAAGATTGTGATCATATACTGTTAAATCTATCAATTTGTTTCAAGAGATTATATATATATATTAGGATCATATACATGAAAAGAGAATTGAGTAGTAGTTCATTGTCATCTTGTATATATGCAAGTTTGATTCTCATTTGGTTCTTTTTTGTCTCTCCTCTGACCGCTAATTATTTGTTTCGGATCGATATCTTATTATCTTATTGTTTTTGTTTGTTATTATTACGTTTGTTTCATAATTTGTTTAGTCAAGGGTCTTTAAAAAAAAAAAATATCTCTATCTTCTTAAAGGTCTAATAAGATTTGCCTACACTCTACTATCGTCTCCAACTCTACTTGTAAAATCAAACTGAATTTATTGTCTCTTCTCCCCGTTAATTTTTCTTGTATGACCCTGACAAAGGAATTATGTCAAACAAAAAAAGACAAAAAAGAAAACTGAAAAAAAGATAAAGAAATTGTAACAAGTGAAAGAAATGATCTCCCCTACACTTTTACTAATCAAGTTTTGATCTACGAGACTCAATTTGACTAATTTTCTGAGTTAAATTGAATTAGAATAATTTATTATTTTAAATTATAAATTTAGATATTCAAAAATCATATGAAAGATGTGATAACTTCCAATTCTTTTTTTATTAGTTGATAAAAGTAATATATTTTAAAATATTAATTAAAATTTATAGTATAATTTAACTCTCGAAAAACGAAATGTGATAAGTAGAAGTGAATGAAAAAATATTTCTTAGCCGTCCAAACCTTATCAAGATTGTTAGTATATCAGCTAATGTCACAAATTCATAGGAAGTTTTTGCCTTAACAAACCGACTCATTTGTTAATGTTGCACAAAAAAAATTAGTGGAGTAATCAATTATGTGATAAATGATCCATATTATAATGTTAATATTAGAAGTGACCTCTTAGCCAATATTGTTTTTTTATTTTAAAAATTGAGTGATGTAGGGAGAATACCACATATACTACCATTTTAAAAAAAAAATTAACACTAAAATCTAAATTTTATTTAGGAGATGTTATTAATTATTGTTAAAGATAAGAGAGTAGGAGCATCTATTACATATATACATATTATTTACGGGCCAACTTAGGGTATGTGACTAATAAATAATATTACACGTCTTAATCACTAAATAAAATACATGTTTGTGACTTCAAGTTTTGTCAAAATTAATACAAATATATCGGTGCTAATAATTGTGTTACATTCTCATCATGACTCATGACTCATGACATTGATAGGTACTTAGCCTTGTTCCATACACAACCCCTCAAACTTGCTCTCATTTTTTATTTTGACACTTCAACTTAGCCTTGTTTCATTTTAACCCTTAATCTCCATTTTTTCTGTATCATTTAAACACTAATACTAATTTTTATGATTTTTTATTTATTTATGTTCTTCAATTGCAATTTTTTATTTTAAAAAAAATAGACATGTGTGTTAATTTTCGTAAAAAAATTAAACATTCGCGAATGAACATAAAATTT